TAATAAACATACTTACATGATGGATAAAAAAGCATAACTTTATCCTAGCAAAAATTTCATTTAAGAAAATTATTCACTAGCGGGTAATCGAACCAGTTGTTTGGTTTATTTAACTTGTGAATTCGAATTAAAGTGGCTAGGTATAAACTAGCACAGTGGCAAAATAATAGGTAAAGCAGATAGGCTAGGTATTTAGACAAGTGTTGTAAATTATTAGGCACAGGTACAATCGCGGGCCGGCATTCGGTGTCGCGCTTTTATTGACACTTTATCAGCTTATTTCAGGTATTTTAATTTTCACTGCTGGTTTAATGTTTAGGTATCTTCATGATTTTTTAATGAAATTATCGTTCCATTTAGCTGTACGAACATGATGAAGAGTGGATAAAGCTAATCAAATTTTTAAAAATACGATTTTTGTTCGATAGAGATCGATTTTCTTTTTGTCCCATCATCAAAGGTATCGTTAGTACTACCGTTTGTCTTCGTTTTCGGTACAGTTTCACAAACAGCCGTATACGGTTCTCATAAAAAAAATTTTTGGTCTGTCCGTTTGTTTGTTGATCAAAACCCCGTTATAATCGGCCCAGCTGTTTCATAGATTAGCCGAAACAAGCAGACAAACATTTTAAATATTGTTTTTTGCTATTATAAGTACCGTATATACTTTCATATGCACTTTGTAAAGAACTATTATTTTGACATTACAAACAGACTCTTCCAGTTTATTTATTTGTGTTGATAAATATTTATAACAATATTATAAAAATATTAAAATGATCAAAATACCAAAATAATTTAAATAACAAATAAATTAAATAATTCAATTTCACAAATTAAAAAAAATTATATACCAATTAATCATCTCTTTAGTTTATATAAACTATTTACAAGTTAGACTTGAGAAATATTTAAACTCAAAAAATAACAGCACCTTCAAAACTTCATCTTGCCTTTACCCTTAGTTTAGTCGTGGAAATGATCAAGTTTGTTAAAAAAACTTGCATAAGCTTTTGAAAGATATGTGGAGAACTTCTCAAGCCAATAGGCATGTTTTTATATTCTTCATATTTTTTGTCGAAAGTTGCAGCAGTGCTTTTAACATCGGAAAGGCTTCTGTCCTTGGGTAAAAGCACAAATTAATTTTATGTTGTAGCTTCATATTCGTTAGGGAATCCTTTCACTTTCGCCGGCTTAAAATAACTGATAAAATTTATTATCTCCCGCCGTGAACAGTGAGTTGCAAAGCAAGCGTCGAGTCTGGTAGGAGTTATCCATTTCGACTTTGTAAGATCGACATTATAGTTTTTCCATTGCATTGCAGTGAGATAAACATATAGGTTTTTCTCATAATCCTGACTCACATTGCACAACCGATGGGAGTAATCCTCGCTTTTGTTCTTGCACAGGTGTATCCGTGTCTTACTGTCATCGTTTGTAATACCTGGGACAAGTTCCGGTATTTCGCTCTAAGGAAAAAATATATCAATCAACAAGATATTCCATGTTAGTCTTAAATTTGAAACCACGTTTCTTATTTCTACAAATCTAATGCTGGTTGTTAATCTTCAGTACATATTTGTATTGTCTATAAATAATAGTAATAGGCCTGAATGTTGGTTCTTCTGCAATTTATTTATCTTACTCACCTCTACAATAGAGAAGTAAATTCTAGTATTAAAACAAGAAAAAAGAAATGAAAGTTTGGTGTGCATAATGTGGTGCATAACTATATCAGATATGTGTACAATCAATTATGTAAATACTTATAATTTTCTTTTGTGATATTTTAATGTGTACTGTTAATATGTCTTATAAATAAATGAAAAAATATCAATTATTAATTATTACATGAATGACAAAAATAATGTTTATAATTAAACTATGGGATTGGTATTTAAACTATGAACTAAGTTGGCCCTATGAAGAAATTTAAGTTTGCTCAGTGAGCTATAGAGAAAGCTACCTGGTAGGAGCTTAGCAGAGTATATAAGGCGTTTAGAAAAATAAGTAATATGTAATCGTGAAACAATTGATAGGTGCTTAGCCCATTGCCTACACAATCACTACGACATGCTAGACAAGTAATACAGTCTTTTTGTTACAAATCCCACCTAAACATAGGACTTATAATTAATTAACGAGCTTCCGAGCATGACAGAATCTGTAATCATATATCATTATCATCATCATTATAGCGCTTCACAAGTCCACTGCTGAACATAGGCCTCCCCAAAAGTAGTGATTCAGAGCCACCTGCATCCATCGACTTCCTGCATGTCTTACCATGTCGTCACTCCATCTAGTGGGGGTTGCCCTACACTTCGCCTACCGGTACAAGGCTGCCACTCGAGAACCTTTTTTCCCCAACGGTTATCGGTTCTTCGAGCTATATGGCCGGCCCATTGCTTACTAATCTGTTAGACTGTGTCGGTCACTCTGGTTCTACTGCGGATATCCTCATTTCTAAGTTTACCACGCAAAGAAACTCCAAGCATAGCCCTCTTTATAGCTCACTGAGCGACTTTGAGCGTCCTCGTACGGCCAGCAAAGAAAGACCACGTCTCAGTTCCATAAGTCATCACTGGCAACACGCACTGTTTGTACAGTCTTGTTTTCAGGTTTTAAGATATAACTGTCTAGAAGATCTGTCGTAATTTCCCAAACGCTGCCCAGCCGAGTTAAATCCGTCGATTCAATCCGACCTCTTGGCTGAAGTTGGACTTACCTAGTCGGAATATTTGTCCCAGGTGAATACTCATCAACAACTTCAAGCATAGTACTCCTAACAAGTACCGACATATGTGTAACATGGACATTAAACGTGATCTTTGTTTTGTCCATGTTCATCTTAAGACCTATCCGTTGGGAGGCACTATTGAGGTCATTGAGCATAGAGCTTAAGTTCTCCAGCGATTCTGCCATAAGGACTATATCGTCGGCAAATCGAAGGTGAGTGATCTACTCGCCATTGATGTTAATACCACATCCTTTCTAGTCCAGTAACTTGAAAACGTCTTCCAATGCAGCGATGAAGTTTCAGGGATATAACGTCACCCTGTTTACACCTCTCTGCAATTGGATAGGTTTCGTACTCTGGTTCTGTACTCGGATAGCCATCGTAGCCCTACTGTACAAACAATTCAGCACTTCGATATACTGAACTTGGCACCGCTAAAGAGACTGTAGCACCGCCCAAATTTCGACGCAATCAAAGGCTTTCTCATAGTCCACATACACCAGGCAAGACACGATTGTACTCTTTGAACTTCTGTACAATTTAATGAATGGTATGTATGTGGTCTATGGTGCTAAAGCCTTTTCGGAAACTGGCTTGTTCGGGAGGCTGGAATTCGTTGAGACTGCGTGCGAGAAGATTTGTAATGACTCTTGAAAACAGCACGGCTCAGAAAGGATATCGGTCTGTTGTTCTTCAAGAGAGCACTGTCACCGTTCTTAAAGAACAAGACCACCGCACTTCTATTCCACGCCTCGGGAGTAGTACCACCGTGGTAGATGGAACTAAAGGATTTCAAGTACCGGTTTTCCACCCGCTTTCAGAAGCTCTGCTGTAATACCATCTTCGCCCGGGGACTTGCCGTTTTTATGTTGCTGGAGAGCCATTATAATTTCGCTCAGACTGACGTCCCGGATATCATTGGAATAGTGATATTAATATTATATTAGTAATAGTATTCAGATATACCCATTACAAGTTCTTACGACGTAGCCATAACTTGGAGGTGACAAAGGGCAGTTCATATAGCTCGAATAACTGATAACTAATAGCAAAGAAAGGCTTCCAAGTGATAGACTCGTGCCAGTAAGCGGAATGTAGGGTGACTTCCTACTAGATGAAGAGATGACATGGTAAGATATGCGAGAAGTAGTTGGAAGCAGGTGGCGTAACTGAGGGTAGGCGTATGATCAACAGTGGACCTGCGAAAGGCTGCAATGATGATTATAAGACACAAAAACATGCTTAGCAGCAGTCTGACGTGGAATTCGGTTGACTGAATGTAACCAAAACAATTTTTGAATTTACATACGTATATGCGTATATATGTGCAAGCGTTAAAAAGCAGATTAATAAAAATGTTATGTTACGTATAGTGAATGTGGAGAAGAGGAGACCCTCTTTACTTGAAACCAGACATTCCATCTTAGTAGTCTTGTGTAGTTCGCGAACGATGAACGATTAAGAAACGTATCTTGGTATTGTACTAAAAGAAACGTTTCCGAATACTGATTGTTAATCGGCCTCACAGCTCTATTCGCACACCTGCACTCACAAGACGCCAATACCGAACGTAAACGTAACTCAAAAATCGATCAGTAGCCAATCAAGGACAAGAGCACAATAAGAAGTACTAGCGTAAACAAGAGCCAATGAATACCTCTCTGATTCAGTCAGTGACTGACTGAGATTTCACACAGATAGATAGAATTTAAACAGGTTAATGGTACCGATGACCGAATAGAGCTAATAGAACTAATAGAACAATCTAGTTCTCTGTCCGAAATGAACTAGTACGGAGCGATCTTTAAAATGACTGAGCGGGCATAGGACTACATCTTAGTCGTCAAGGTTAACAACGCATCTGCATTTTGATTCTTAATTGAGGGTAGATGTGGCTGTCTATGGGCCCCAGCGACCACTTATCAACAGGTGGACTGTGTGCTCGTATACCACACCCATTCTATAAAAAGAAAACTTATTCCCACCTATATAATTTCCACTGCCCATCATCGACGTACACTTTTATATTTAACTTCTCGTGTATTTGGTTGCAGATAAATTCGTGTGTGTAATGTGCATACACATATATAGCCACTGCATAATTATCGCCATTCTTCAGCCATTTATCAATTTCATCGATAACCATATCAATTGTATAGTTTCTCGTCGGAAAATCCTCGTGTTCCTCGTCGAAAAAGGTCGTGTCCACATACATCGCATCGATGTTTATCGGATCCCTGTTTGGGTCGTGCAGTTGTTCTTATTTCTCGATATCATTAATGCTGTAATATGAATAATCGACATCTACATCAGAAAATAAGCCAATATCTACATACCAACTTAAATCTAAAGTTATACTATGATGGTTGTTTAAAAATAGGGCAAAATCTAATGAAAACTACTCAACAGCGTGGGCTATTCCAAATACGAAAAAATGGGTAAATAGAAACACAAACATTCACGCGCACGTACACGCACACAAATGGCGATGTCAACCACATGCATAATACTTAACAACAAGTGTTGCTTGATAACATTCAAATAACCCCCTGAGCTTAGTAGAAATCAGTAATTTCGATATTACAAGAATACTTCAATTTTATTAACCGAATTCAAAAAGGAGGAGGTTCGCAATTCGAGTGTTCTTTTATTGAAGTAAATCTTTACGTACGCTTGACTTGGAGCTGGCGAATGAGTGACGAAATCGTTACGAAAAGTGTGATCGGGTGGGCGAACGGGAGTTGAGTGGGAGATATAAGCAAGAGAGAGCAGTGCGCGCGCATATTTTCTTTCTCTCTTTCTCTCATAGCCAGTTATTTTTCGTAATTTTATTTTAATTTTGAACAATTTTATGAATTAATATTTTGTTCATACATTAAAAATATTCTACGTTTAAAGTAAATAAAATTTTAAATTCATTTTAAAGTTCAATTTTTGGAATTTTCGGGAGAATAATCACAAATAATGAAAGGAAGCCGATAATAAATTTTAATATTTGTGGAAAATTAATATATGTATATGTATATACATGTATATATTATACATATATGCATATATAGCTAAAGAAGTTTTACTTCTGTCGTGTGGTCATAAACTACTCGTTTTTTTTGTATGTATGACGTGACTACTTCGCAGATTATAAACCGATTTTAATAATTCTTTTTTTTAGTTAAATAAGCTTTTTTCACTACTAGGTCCCATTTTTTTGAAGATAAGGTTCCGTTTCAGATTACTGTTTGAGGAATTTCATATATCTTCGCAGATAAAGAACCGATTTTAATGATTCTTTTTTTTCTTAGATAGTTTATACTCCAAGGTTGGTCTCATTTAAATTTTGAGAAAAATTCCACCCCAAATTGTTTGTCATTCCAAATTGTTGCAAATAAATAACATCGTTTTTTGAACTTTTTAATTTTTGTTAAAAGTTATAATTATCGATATGTAATAATGAAATGTAATGATAAAATCCATATAATGGCGCTACAAGCGTATCTGTGAATCTGGATATCGCAAGAAGCGAAAAATAGAATCTGAACCACTAGATAAGCAGCAGCATCTACCAGTAAACAACTCCAATTAATAAAAAAACTGCGGTTACCAACCATTGAAGTAATATGTACTTACGTACTAGAACAGCTATCTCAAACAAAAATGTGCGCTACTCTGTGTTCGCGTGTTTGGTTTTTTTTATCATAGAATAAACATAGGTAGAATGATCCGTAGGTAATAGTAGATTGTATTGTTAAATAGCTAAATTATATCGAGAACAATATTTAAATTTTGTCATTTATTTTGTATATTATATTTGTTTATTTAATACAATATTAAATAATATTATATCACAATTACATTTTAATGATATTTTTATCTGAATATTTAAAAAAAAGTATCTATGTCAAATATAAAGAAACATACTAAATGTATGTTTAACAAAACTTATTAACATAAAATTTAAATTACAAATATATTTATTTAAATTGGAATCATAAATGCTGTAAATAATCGTTCATAAATGCTGGACACGCCAGAGTTAAAAATGGACGAATTTATGCCACTTTGACTTTGAAGTGGAAACCTAAAAATAAAATAAAAGAATAATAAGCAGATTTAAACATAAAAATTTAGCCTAATTATAATAACTTATATGTTTCTACAAAAAAAAATATGTATAATAATATATTTGTCCTAAACTCAAGTACCCACAGAAATGTCGCATCTGAACATATTAATTTCATAATCTATATTCAATGATACGAGATGGCGTCTTAGGAATAATTTGTTTTATTATTAATTTATAATACTTTTTTATTGAATAAGTATCTTATTAACCGATGAAAAGTAATTCCTTGGTTTTTACTAACATTTCTTGAATTATTTGTGCAATATTTAAGTACACAAGACGGCATATTTTTATCAAGAGATTTTTTTTAAATTAACACAACACGTGACAACTTAGCGAGTGACTGATTAAAGTGCAGTGCATGCACCGCAGTTGAGTGGAACAGAGTAGCTGAATGCAATGTCTCCTCTAGTACGTAGTACATAATAGCTCAATGTTACCAACCCATCTTTTAAGCGTGACAATAATAGCAAAATCCTTCCTTTATAGCAACCTATGGGAGAAGCCAATGTTCAATAGTGGACTTTCATAGGCTGTATTGGATGGATGAATAGATAAAATTTTTACTTGACGTAATAGCGGAGATATATTGGAGCTGAGCTCCCATGGCGCAAGAAAACGATTCTTTGAAATCTATCTCGTCGGCCAATTTACATAATTTTTTCGGCAATATTTGTAGCTCAACGCAGACAAGGTCTGTAAGCAATAAAAAATCTGAGTTTGTGTAAAAGATATTAAAAAATAACCAAAAACTAAATTGTCTATGGGAAATTACATGTAAAGCAAAAGCGTGCGCTTTAGATTTTTACTTGGCTCCATTTATGATGCTAGCAAAAGGTTTACCTTTGCATCTCCATCTGTCCTAGTTAATTTTAAAAGTCACGAAAAAACATCACGACATGTGCACCGCGTATCACCCATGCTAGATACACCACTGTTGTAATTTTATGTAATTTTAATAAGGTGAAGATTAGTAGCAGACTTTTCCTTTTTTTTGTATTAAATTTTGCAACTTATTGATATTTATCAATTTTTTATAGGATAGGATGACAAACGAACACACAGTCCACCTGATGGTAGTGGTTGATGTGGCCCATAGACATCTACATCTATCCTCGATTAAGAATCATAATGCAGATGCGTTGTCATCCGTGAGGACTTAGGTGGAATGCCTCGCTTCCAGTAAAAAGGGTCTCCGGTTCTCTACACTCACCATACGAAACACAGCAGCATTAAGCTACTATTTTACGCTGGTATTCTGTGAGAGCGTGGTCCTTCCCCAGTCGAGCCGACCCATTTGTGCTACAACTATACTACTAATATAACTGCAGCATGGCTCTACCACGTAAATTATAATAGCGATCCGGTCAGCTTCGAACGGCTAATTTCCGAATCTTGGCAACAGCGCCACCTACCGGGTCCATTTGTAAATCTAAACCATTGAGGGACCTACAAAAATTACACACAAAATATGTTATCAAAATCAAACCAGCCGCTTAAGTGGAGCTCAGTGTCAAACACATGTAAAGAAAAATTAAACTACAACTAGCTGTGATGGTGATTTCATTCGCATAGAATAATTTTTAGTAATTTTTTTGCGCGGAACCCTAATCCGTTTTCTATAATAACAGTAGCATTAGTTAATCCTTATAACATTAGCTATCTGCCAGTGAAAGTCCCGTCAAAATCGACCAAGCCGTTTCGGAGATTAGCCGGAACAAACTGACAAACAGACAAAAATGTTAAGAACTGTTTTTGTTATAAGTTCACATTGTCAATACCAAAGATAGGAGCTGAATATGGATATTCGATATACATATCAACTGTGTCAAGTCGATGTCAATATCGTATATCGATTGTTTAAAAATAAATTGTGAGGTCTGTAGAGCTAGGGAATCTATTATCCTATTCCATTCCTTATTTTAAGGGAACGGGTTAAGGGTACTCTGAATTTTGCCCATTTAATACATTGCTAATTTGTTAGATAATCTTCCGTTTTTTGCCTTTTGCCGACTCTGCCACTCACTTTTGTAGCATAAATTTGCTATGCCACTCTTTACTTATTAATTCTCATGTTTTTCTGCCACACCCATTTTAACTAGCACACAAGGTAGGGACTAACATAGCATTGTGAAATGTCATAGATGACTTTCTAGAATGTCACTTTATTGAGTGAAGAGCCCCGTTCACTCTGTGTCCTGCATTCACTCATCGTTTTACATCCTTTTTATGTCTACCATTCTTGCCGCATCAGCATAAATAAGTACTTCAGTAAAGCACAGAGAAGAAGTAGAAGAAGAAACAGAAGGATTACTTGGCTCTACCAACCTTATACGGAAATCTCCTGTGTATAAAATAGTTTTATTTGTGGTCTTGAAGAGAAACATGCAGGATCCCAAGCAATGCTCTGTAGGAATCAGTATCACATCTAAAGACATTTCCTCCAAATGGTCTTCCGGAACAGTTGGAAGTGTTATCGGATTGGATCCTAAAAGAGATTATTTGTCAGTTTAAGATGTACACAATAAATTGACTTATTTACTAAACAAAAAATTGATTAAGCCTGCAGGCTATCCCTAGAATTTGTCGCTAATTTCAAATGCAAAGCGCTTCAAATTTCACCAAATTATGACGCTGAATATCGAAGTAATTTAAAAAAAATTATTCAAAATTTTTCATTAACGACATCTCACGAACGAATCGCGGATTTTGACCGAACCGGTGGCGATCGACGTGATTTTTCAAGGCTAAAAGCTGATTAGTTTCTGGAATCGATCTGAAAAGCCGTTTAAAAGTTATAAGTAAGTTTTTCAAAAGTATTTTTGAGATTTCTCAAAATCTACTGGTCCGAATCAGTTAAAATTCATAGGAAATCTAAGTTTGATGAAACACTTTGGAAATCCGCTTAGTTCATTTCAATCGGTCAAGCCGTTCATAGACACACACACATACACATGCAGAAATAACGACACGATCGAAAAATTATCAGGGTGACTTCCTGTGACCTCAGAACGTCAAGATTTAATGAAAACTCAATTTTCGAAAAACGGGGTAAAAATAATAACTCCCCGTTTTTTTTTAAATATTCAATTTTCTTAGCGGAAAGTTAAAAAACTTTGTGACGTTGGACTAGTGGTATATGTTGGATACTGCTGCCCGTCTCGTGTTTTAGTTCCCCCTCTCCCTCTTACGACGCAGTACGGAACGATAGTGGATATTCTTACACAACCACTGTTATGTGCCGGCTAAAAATAATCAAGAGGGCGGTACTAACCTAAATGCACATGTGAGTGGTAAAGAATGGGTGTTACCACCACAGAAATCGTAACAATAGGACAATAGAAGTCGCATAGACGCGTGACCTTGTCGCTGCTATTATGTGTTGACGAACATCATTCACCATTTTGTGATTTAGTTGCACGGGGAACGTCGTACGTGAATTTATGTTATTATAATGATGAATTGCAGCATAATCAGTAGTAAAAACTCATCAAGGACGTGAAATTCAACTAATAAAGGAATAACATTTCATCGGTAAGTTGATTATACACTAATTATCATTGTTTTAACAAATTTACGTCAGGATGATTACTTTTCTATAATATTTACCTGTGTAAATCTGATCTCTCTGTCTGTGAATCTCAGCATCAGGGAAAGACCAAATGAATCTTGCTGATCAGAAAGATTTCGGTCGTCAACGATTTGAGTCAGTCTTCGCTGGATGCGGTTAAATGGAAGAGCAAGCAATTGAGTGCCACGGTCGGGAAGAAAGCAGTATTAAAAGTGTGGTCGGACTGTTGCCTTGTAAGGTTGCAAACGATATGACGGCATGAAATACATCAATAGTGTTACAACCAGTAACAGCAGCGTTCAATTGGATATACAGAAGAAACAGCGTAAGTGACAGCACGCAATATTGTGGAAATCCAGAATTAATGGGCTCATAGTTGGTGTATGCACCATCTACTCCAACCTTGAAGCTTTAATCTGTAAGAAAGCTGATAATTCAAGTGCACTATATTTCGGGAAGTGCCAAACCCGATTAAAGACTTTCACTAAGCCCAAAGTAAGGACCAAGACGTTCCTCTTGAACTCTACTACTTAGACACATCTGAGTCAGATAAATTAGAAAATCATCACCTGAGCGACCACGATGAGAACCAAATTGACGGTCACTAATCCTTATGATTTGGCATTTTATAATAAAAAACCTTTTGATCTGGCAGTTTATAATGGATTACATTATTATGGAGAACAATCAGGCGAATCCGGGAAGAGAGTGCCTAGCTCACTGAGCACTGTATATACTGCATATTTTGAATTGAGCTATCACACCGCGGGGTGGTTGGTAGTGTGTACTCCATAACACCGAGAGTCGAGTTGGACTCAAAAAAAGAATCTAAAAGGTCGACTTCCTTTTTTGCTGTATGGGCGAGAGAGTCGTTCTCCGTGTGCAAAGATGGAACGGATGATGAAGAATGGATACAGCCTTGGCAAAAGACCTTAATGAAATAAGAGACAGGAAAGAGAGCTTAAGCAGTTTAAGATCTTTGAATTACGTCCAACCAGTCAACGTAAAACGAAAGGTACCAAATATTTCAAAGACTTTTTTTCTATTAGTATATATTTATTTTGTACACAAATAAAGAATATGTAACAAATGCTTGCGTCACTTACTCTATTATTATAATTAAAAATAGTATTAAAAAAAAAAAAATATATAAATAATAACACTTATGTAGATAATAAAATTTGGTATTCTCAATAAATTTTATTGAGAATACCAAACTTTATTATCTACATAAGTGGTGTTGCAAAAGCAAGCTTAGCGCTCCCTCAAACCATGCGCTCTGGACTCCAGCCTAATTAGCCTGTAGGTAAATTAGGCGTGAGGGCATCGACTATTTTTCTGCCACCGGGGTGGCGCTATTAAAAATGAGGTGTAATATTTGACAGATTGGAACAGCGGATAAGTTAATTTGTTCGAAAAATGTGAAGCTTAAAGTTTTTTTCCGTACTATTGGTACTCTCTCTGCTTCTTTTTATTTACAGCAAATTATTTAAATTCCCCAAAAATGTGGCATTATTTTGTCATTAATATAATACTCTAGAAATTGATAAAGTTTTATTTAAAAATAACTTCTCAATTAACTGACATTGTGTAACAAAAAAAATTTATCTCAGCGTCAACTTACGACCTCTAGTGAGCGGAGGATAATTAGCCCTAATTGCATATTATCAACTGCAGATGTCTCATACCTGTAGTGCCGCTGCCATTGCAGGTCTGGGTATTTTATGATTAGAACTCTTACCAGTGTTAAAACAGCTTGATTAGTATTTTGCAATGGTGACACGCGACTGACACTGATATTATATTTAGTTTACAGAAGAGGGCCATTAGAGCAATATATAATTTAAAACCAAAAGAGTCACTGAGACAAAAATTTAAGAAAATTAATATATTAACTCTGGCCTCTCAATACATTTATGAAAATTTAATGTACGTGCACAAGAATAAACGTAGTTTTGCAAAAATAAGTGATATTCATTCTGTAAATACTAGGAACAGACACAAGCTGGTAGTACCAGTTACTCGACTCCACCGAGTCAGTAATTCATTCTTGGGGCGATGTATACGCTTTTATAACAAAATCCAAGAAAATATTAAAAAAAAATTAAACTAAGTTTGTATAAAAAGGGTTATTATAATATTAAGTAATTTATGGATGATAATAACCCCTGGGAAGGGTGATCGCTACCAAGCTATTTCTAATTTGTCTTGTGTTGTTAATTGTAAACATGATTGTAAGCTATTATTTGAAAAAAAAAATTGTCCCGCTGGGTTTCTTGCTGGTTTCTTCCTAGTACAGAGGTTTTTTTTTGCGAACCAGTGGTAAATGAAAGAATTGACTTTCAATAAGTATTGTTTATAATCTACATTGAATAAAAAAGTTTCTGTTTCTGTTTCTATGTCTGCCGTAAAGAGATGATTATACCAACATCAATGCCAGAACGATGCATGGGTTCCAGCTGTAACATCTCTTTGGCTTATCACATTTTCGCTTCTTACACACCCTCGGGACGAAATATGCGAATTCCTTTTATCCATCATACAAATGCATGAATACCAATGCTTACCTTCACTTAATTCTTGTACATATTGAAGAAGTTCATTATTCGTAACTCTGTGCCTCATAATGGTTAACGTGGTTTTTGATGTATAAATAAACACATTTGTTTTCTTCAAATGTTCTAGTAATCTGGTATCATCAATACCTTGAATATGGTCAGCATGAAAATGGCTTATGAAGTAAGCTCTTGATTTGGCATTCTCTCCAGTAAAATTATCTACTGATATTCCTGTAAATAAAATTATATTAAGCAATTATCTGCAAATAGAGATATCAAAATTGCATGACGTTAGGGTGACTTTATACTCTAGGAGCACTTCAGCCGGTCTGAAAAGGTTACGATATCAACATATCATATTACTATATAATTAACAACCTTCGATTTACTGATTATATAGTCCTTATGGCAGAATTGCTGGAGGACCTTAGCACATGCTCAATGACTTAAATGCCTTCCAAATGATAGGTCTTAGGATGAATTTGGATCAGATAAAGACCACATATATAGAGTCCATTTCATACCTATGCATTTAGTTGTTGGAAGCACTACGCTAAGTTGTTGATGAGTATGTTTACGCGGGACAAAAGTAAGTCCAACTTCGAACCAAGAGGCCAATCTACGGATCCAACTTTTTAAAATTGAATACAAGAGTGTGAAGAGTGTTCCAGAGATGACTTATGGGTTTGAAACATGGTACTTCAAGGTCGCTCATTGAGAGTGCTATTCTCAGAATTTCCACCCATGACAAACTCCGTAATGGGGAAACCCATAGCAGAATTAGAGAAATCGACATAGCCCAAAGGATCAGTAAGCTTAAGTGATAATGGGCCAGTCAGGTCACACTTAACCCAGACCATACATATAAATCTCTTCCTTTTTTATAGAAGAGGGGGCAATCGAGCATACGGTTCACCGGATGTTAAGTGACTACCGCCGCCCATGAACATCCGCAACACCAGGGGAGTTGCAGGTGCGATGCCGGCCCTTTAGAAAGGAGTAAGCTTTTTTCTTGAAGGTGCCCAGGTCGTATCGGTCCGGAAAAATTGCTGGTGGTAAACTATTCCACAGAGAGGTCGTACACGGAAGAAAACTCCTTGTGAAGCGTACAGTGGTGGACCGCCAAGCATCAAGATGGTGTGGATAGTATCGGGAGGATTGCCGCGTAGTGCATTCATGAAATTTGCCGGCTGAGATTAATCCGAACAATTCCTCAGAGCACTCTCCGTGATAGATGCGAAAGAAAATGCAAAGAGATGCAACATCTCTTCGCAGCGCCAGTGAATCGAGCCGATCGGAAAGCACTCGGTCGTCGACAATTCGAGCCTGCGCTTCGATTCTGCGCTGGATGCGGTCAAGTGGAAGTAACTGGCAATGAGGAGCCCCAGCCCAAATATGGGAACAGAATTCCGTGTGAGGCCGAACCTGCGCCTTGTAAAGTTGCAGGCGGTGTGCCGGCATGAAATACTGTCCCGCTCTACTGAGCACGCCAAGCTTTTTAGAGGCCAATTTGGCCTTCTCTTCCAAGTAACTACGAAACCGCACGTCACTCGATATGTCGACGCCGAGGATTCCGGTACTGGCTGAGGCAACGATGGGAATGCCTTGAAACTAAGGAGATACGACAAAAGGGTTCTTTTAGCGGTTAACGCGTAAACTTGTGTCTTCTGAGGGTTAAACTGGACTAGATTTTGTCGCCCACATTCCGAGACTTTGTTCAGCAAAGACTCGACTTCAGACACAAGTTTGTCCCGGTACTCGGAGACGTTTTCCCGAGAAATTTTGGCACGGCTGGTGTACAGAGCATCACCAGTGCTGTCATCTGGATAGCAATGAATGTTGCCGGTTTGCAACATATCATTGATATGCAGAAGAAACAGCGTTGGTGAAAGCACGCACCCTTGTGGAACACCAGCATTAATAGGCTTGTAATCGGAGCTTGCACCGTCTACAACCGTGAGCCGTAGTAGCTCAGATGGTTAACGCTCGCTATAAATATAACAGAACGCGAGTAACCCGGGTTCGATCCCCGCCGGTACCACTGAAATTGTTAATTGCAATTTTAAGTGCTGATTTACCACGTGCTCAGAAGTGAAGGAAAACATCGTGAGGAAACCTGCATGTCTGAGGAATAAGAATAGAAATATTTTGAAGACATGTGAAGTACGCCAACACGCATTGGAGCAGCACGGCAGACACTTCCTTGCCTTTTAACCCTCTCAGAATTGAGGGGAGACCTGTGCCCAGCAGTGAGACGTATATAGGCTGTAACTTTACTTTACTTTACCGTCTTCAACGACCTTGATGCTCCGATCTGCAAAAAAGCTGGTGATCCAATTGCACAATTTTTCAGGAAGCCCATAGGAACGGAGCTTTGAAAGGAAGCGCTTTGTGCCAAACCCGATCGAAGGCTTTCACAATATCCAAACTACCGGCCTTGGACTCTACTGCCGCCGCTCATCTATGAGTAAGGTAAACAAGAAGATCACCAACTGATCGACCACGACTAAAACCATATTGGCGATGACTAATCATCTGGTGATCCTCAAGGTACCTCATGATCTCAATGAATGAATTCCGTACAAAAATAATAAATGCTGCGCAAAGCTAGAAATATTAGAAATAATTCGATACAAATTGTAATTTATTGTAGTGTACATTATTTTTTGTAGTATTAATAATTCCGTATTAAAATAATAAATACCGCACAAATCATGATATTATATTATTAAGAAATATTTCGATAAAATTTTTGAAACAGGTGCTTATTTGTTTGTAATTTATTGAAGTATATTATTTTTGTCGTATTAATTTGATTTTCACTACATTAAACTACAAACGATTTGAAGTAATTTATTGTAGTGTACTTTATTTTTTATGGTATTAATAATTCCGTACTAAAATAATAAATACCGCACAAATCATGATATTACATTATTAAGATTTCGATAAAATTTTTGAAATAGGTGCTTAATTGTTTGTAATTTATTGAAGTATATTCTTTTTGTCGTATTAATTTGATTTTCACTACATTAAACTACAAACGATTTGATGTAATATTTGCTTAGGTTTGTGCCTTATTCGAAACAAGTTAGTAGATACCCATATTATTTGTCCTTAAAGCTTCAGTTGCACAATCCAAAGATGAACAGAAATAACTAAAATTAACTTTGACATTTGTAGTTAATGAACTTTCAATAATTACGTTTAAGAGTTTTATTATTCCCGGAGCTCTGAGGGTTATATGATTCATGTAAACGATTGAACAAAATTTATTTGCGACTACATTGAACTACAAACGATTTGAGATAAAGTATCGTTGACTTATACTTTTATTCTAGACACTCGCAGTAATGAATGTATTGCTATGATGAGGTATCCTTAGAATAGATACTATAAACATACGAGTACCGCCACAAACGTCTATATAGTTTGTACTTTCCGTGCCAAATTTTCTTTCCATATCTCTGTTATTTAAGAAGTTATCCAATATTTTTTGAATAGGTACTTTTTACAAAATTATAAACACTACAAAAAAAATAAAGTACTACTATTAGTAATACATTCATAAGCATTGTTTGTAAGTAAAAATGAATAATTAAAATCAACTTTTCCTTATGAAAAAAGGACTTGTTAATTACCAAAAAATAAATACCTAAAAGACAACCAATATGGATTTCGATCAAATAGATCAACAGAAGATGCCATATTAAAATTAACATCCCTAATTACAGAATACTTAGATAAAGGCCAGAAAAGCATTGTGTTTTTTCTCGACCTACAAAAAGCCTTTGATACAGTCTCCCATCCAATCCTATTACAGAGACTAGAAAATGTTAGTATTTGAGGAACTGCGATAAATTGGTTTTCCGACTATATGAATCAAAAATCACAATAGACTCTAATAGAAAATTTTATGAGCACCGAAGCTGTCTGTACTTACGGAGTTCCACAAGGTAGTACACTCGCCCCTGATCTCTTTAATATTTATTTAAATGAACTATACAAAATTAAACTTAATAAAGGGGAGCTCATAATGATTGCAGACGACACGGTTCGTTTTCAGAATTCTTCATAGAAGCAAGTGTTTGGTATATCAGAAGCTGGACTAAGTAAGATCACCATCTGGCTTGGTGATAGTTTACTAATTACTGCTAAAACAAAATATATATGCTTTTCTAAATCTGTCGTCACAAGATCGAATATCGACTTGAAACTAAAAATTCGTGAATTTCCATGCAATGGAGAGAGCTCTCATGATTGTTCTTGTGATCATTTAACTCATGAAACGACGTCGGAATACCTAGGCGTTCTCATTAACGAAAGGCTAATAAATTGGAAGGAACATCAGTGTACTGGCGAACAGAGTAAGAAAGTTAATTTATATATTTATGGACTTTTGTAGAGTTGCAACATTTAAATTAATTATACAGACTAACAAAGCTTTACGTGAGAGTATAATTACCTATTGCATGTGTTCCTGGGGAGGAGCCGCTAAGGCGTTCCTCCTGGACTTGGAGGCACACAAGCGTGCACAAAGAGTGGTTTTAAAAGTTGCATTGTATTTACCTTTTATATTATATTTATATCCAACTATATTGATTAACGAGAAAACAAAAGTCCTGACAGTTATAAACCTATTTATTTATAAATGTCTTAGAAGATATCACCGATTAGATATTCCAAATTTAGCAATAAATAGAAAAAGAGTAGACAGATGCCCTATCATAGCCATTAAAAGTATTTCTGGTAAGTACATATACTTAGCACCATATTTATATAAAAAATTTAATAGCGCTTATAAAGCAAAAAACGATAACAACTATGATATAAAAAAGAAAATAATATCGTGGCTTAACACTTTTGGTTACCATGAAACAGAATCACTTTTGCCCTATAATTAACCTACAGACACCTACACACACTCACACACGCACGCACGCAAGCACGCACGAGTGCGCACGTGCATACGTCCACATTTCTATACATTAATATATTTTTTATTTTTTTAGTTTTAGTTTTATTAATAGATTTTTTATTTTTGTCAGCGTATGCTGCAATTTTAAGAAAATAAATGTACAGATTACTTGTATAAGTAATCTGTACATTTATTTTTGTCAGAAGACACTGGCTCCTGAGATACAGGTTTAATAAAGCATTATTAATATTATTATATATTCGATTAGAAAAAAGTCCTTGGAATTTTTCAAATTTTAAGGAAGTTAAGAAAACCTGGTACACTGTATAGGCTGTAACTTTCCTTTTCTTATAAACATGTTTAAGTTAAATTTAAAAGTTTCCCAAATGTCGTAGAGTCTAGAATTGGGGGCGACTAAATCTAGTCCAGTTTAACCCCCGGAAGACAAAAGTTTGCGCGTTAACCGCTAAAAAGAACCCCTTTCTCGTATCTCCCCAGTTTCCAAGCACTCCTCTTGTACCCTCAGCCAGTATCGGTATCATCGGCGTCAACATATCGAGTGACGTGCAGTTTCGTGGTCACTTGGAAGAGAAGGCCAAATTGGCCTCTAAAAAGCTTGGCGTGCTCAGCAGAGCGGGGCAGTATTTCATTTCATTCATATTCTGTAACTTTACAAGGCGCAGGTTCGGCTGCACATGGAATACTGTTCCCATCTCTGGGCTGGGGCTCCCCAGTACCAGCTCCTTCCACTTGACCGCATCCAGCGCAGAGCGGCTCGAATCGTCAACGACCGAGTGCTTTCCGATCGGCTCGATTCACTGGCGCTGCGAAGAGATGTTGAATATCTATGCATTTTCTTTCGCATATACCATGGGGAGTGCTCTGAGGAATTGTTCGGATTAATCTGACTGCTGCGGTTCGGATAAATCCCAGCCGCCAAATTTCGTGAACGCACTACGCGGCAAACGTCCCGATACCATCCACACCATATGGATGCTTGGCGATCTACCACTGTACGTTTCACAAGGAGTTTTCTTCCGCGTACGACCTTTCTGTGGAATAGTTTACCACCGGCGATTTTTCCGGACCGATACGACCTGGAGACCTTCAAGAAAAGAGCATACTCCTTTCTAAAGGGCCGGCAACGCACCTGCAATTCCCCTGGTATTGCGGTTGATCATGGGCGGCGGTAGTCATTTAACATCAGGTGAGGCGCATGCTCTTTTGCCCCCTCTTCTTTTTAAAAAGGATTTAAACACAAAAGTAGCACCAGAATGTTAGGAATTATATAGACAAAACACAATACTAAAAAAAACTAGTAAGTTTATTACCTGGGATTTCTTCAATTTTTCCGTGAAAAGAACTTGGACACTTTTTATAGTAGGACATCTCGTATAAACAAATATATTGTTTGGGATTAAAGAACCATGAATATTTTTATTAAATTCTCGCTTATGCACGACTCAAAGAAAATACTAGTTAGTAAAGTATACAAGTTTCCCCTTTCCCGCCTTCTTCGCCGTATTTTGACTTTTCTCAGTGAAGGTTATTGTCTTTGCAACTATCAAAACCGGGTCTTCTTTTTTCGGCGGTTTTGATTGTTCACCAACGTCAAATGCAAAATGCAGACACAAATACAATACCTGCGTACAAAAAAAGATTGTGATAATACAAGTATCTTATTTTCCTTAACATATATATATATATATATATATATATATATATATATTATATATATATATATATATATATATATTCTGATGATTGTACTGTTGAATTATCTAAAATAAAAATGATAAACATAATTTTTATAGCTATATTAGTCCTCAAGACCGAATTTCGGTCACGGTGACCGGTCTGAAGGTTATAGTGACCGAGTGTACGCGCAAGCACAGGTGCACTTACTTTTCTCTCACTCTCATAGTCCGATGGAACCGTAAGCCGATACGACCGAAGAGAAATCAGGTGCGGATCTAATAGCTTAACGTGCTTTCCGATGCATGGAGGAGAAACATCGTCTATTTTCCAAAATTGCCGACTCCAGGCTGCTACTGAGGATTTTCTGACAGGAAAACTCAATAACTGGTTTTGGCCCGACCTGGCTTTCACACCTGGTACCCCATGACCGGCAACCGTGTATGCGACCACTAAACCAACTAGGCTATCAATCCCGTACCAAAAATAATAAATACCGTGCAAAGCAGGAAACATTAGAATTAATTCGATAAAATAGGTGCTTAATTTTTTGAAGTTTATTGTATACTTTTTTTTGTAATATTAATAATTCCGTACAAAAAGTAACAAATACTATATTCGATAAAAGGTTATAAAATAGGTGCTAAATTAGTAGTTTATTGTAGTACACTTTATTTTTTGCGTATTAATAATTTCGTACAAAAATAATAAATACCGGGCAAAGCAAGAGTTATTAGAAAAAATTCGATATTTTTTTTGAAATAGGTGCTTAATTGTTTTATGTTTATTATGATATACTTTACTTTTTCAACGTATTAATAATTCCGTACAAATATAAAAAATACTGTGCAAAGTTAGAAATATTATAAATAATTCGATAAAAAGTTTTGAAATAAGTGCTTAATGGTTTGTAGTTTATTGTAGTGTACTTTATTTTTTGTAGTATTAATAATTCCGTACTAAAATAGTAAATACCTATCAGCTACATTAGTATATTAGTATTACAAACATTAAGGGTTTATGCTATTGATGTTAATAAAATCACACAGAATATCTACAAAAAGGAGTATTGTGACAAGGAATCTCAGGATCCCTCCTGATTATCATAGAGTAAACAAAAAAACTTGGGAAAGGTAAAAAACATGGCCGGTGGATCTCTCATCTAAGCCATATTCGTAGAATTAAAGTACGGCTAATTCTAAGTTTACAAATAATAATTCATGTTGCATGTTTGTTGCCTTTATTTAATTTGAGAAACCTTCGTTTTGAAGAGATGGTACATCGTAAAGCCGCATATGTTTACCTTTTATATTTTGAGTGGTTTTCCATAATCTATTCTAATTATTATTTAAGTTCTGCTTTGCAAGTAACACTATGTCCGAAGGGTAAATTATATTGCATGTTAAACCATTTTAGAATCGCATTTTTAGCCATCAGATCAGCTATTTCGTTGCCATTGTTGCCAATATGGTCTAGAATTCCAAGCTAAGAAAACCTGAACGCCATTGAGAAGACATCTATACAATATGTATTTTTAATTTTGAGAATTAAGGGTATCTAATACTTATTATTTATTTATAGTTTGAAATATACCAAAAAAGTTTTTTTTCTATAGGATAGGGTGACAAACGAGCACACAGTCCACGTGGTGGTAAGTGGTTGCTGTGGCCCATAGACATCTGCATCTATCCTCGATTACGAATCAAAATGCAGATGCGTTGTCACCCGTAAGGACTGTGATGGAATGCCTCGTTTCCAGTAAAAAGGGTCTCCGGTTCTCTACACTCACCATACGAAGCACAGCAGCATTAAGCTACTATTTCACGCTATTCTGTGAGAGCATGGTCCTTCCCCGGTCGAGCCGACCCGTTCGTGCTACTACTATACTTCCAATATAACTGCGGCATGGCTCTACCACGTATTATAACGTATTATGCAAAAGTATATTAGGAAAAAGAAAACACTATGCGAAAAGTAGGGATTCCGAGTCTATACATAATGAATAAATAGACAGATCACAACACGACATTAAAATTTTAAAAAAAATATTGTAATAGCAAAATAAATAGGCTACTTAGCTTAAGAACCTTTCGGTGCTTACAGTACTGACTTTACAAATCCACAGAATTAGCCCTTTTCATTTGTTCAGTTGTTTGCGGTAACAAAACAACTAATTGATCTATTCATTATAGCAATTCTAATGATTTCAAGTATTAAATAAATATTGAGTCATACATGATAAAATAACTTAATCATCACTTCAATGAGTGATAATAATTATGCACATTTTATAACATTAAATGTAAGATTTGCCGGAAGCCGATAAGCGGACGGCGTCAATTGTTATTATTTAATTGTCGTGTGGATATTCTTATTAAATTATTTTATTAATTCAATAAATCTAAGTAATAGTTTAAATAATTCAGAACTTAATTATTCTATGAGAGTGTGAACCCAGGATCGGGATAAAATAATACAAACCTAAATAAATAGTAACTAATATTTCTTTTTCAAATTTCTTTATTTGCTTATTACATTGTCAGTCCTTTTTTAACTCACAATTTATGCAAAGAACTGATTGATAAATTATTTAGTCGATTGTTCAACTTTGTTGACCTATATTTGTTTTCCTGGAGAAAGAGCGCACCGCTTCACAGCTAATGCTTGACAACGTTAAAAAAATCTATAAGATAGTAAAGCAATTTGGGAAAACATCTACAAATTTATTTTCATTAAATTCAAAATCCAAAACAGCTTCTCTACCACAACGTTTAGCATGTCTCTTTAAAAATTTTGATTCTTTTGGCTTTACTATGTCAATGACTTTAACTAAAAATTATAAAAGTAATTCTTCTCTTGTTTATATCACTGCATTTTGCTTCCACTCTTTTTTTAGCTTTCTCCTCGTATATCTTTAATTTTTAATCCGATTGGTTCATATGTTACTCACGAACTCTTTTAATGACATAATTGACTTGTTGCCTTCATAAATATCCTCTCAAAAATTTCTCCCAAAAAATAGTATCGAGTTTAGTATCCTCGTGCAAAACTTGCTTTAAAGAAATTCACCAGATAATGAAGAAGCATATCGATACTCCTCTGTAGTTAGGTGGGAATTATTGCATACTCCCCGCTTGTTTTATATGGTTTAAAGGAGTCAACAGCCCACTGCACCAGGTTTGGCCTTATTATCTTTGCAGCTCTACACTAGTTCTCATTATAAGGACTTCGTAGGGCTCTGAAAGAGCAAAAGTGAAATGGGTTGACGCTAGTAACTCCAATTTTTCTGTTTCATTAGTAGTGAAGTTATCATCAGGGTCTTTAAGAAGCCCGATCTGATTAGGTTTTGTGTAGTCTTGCGCTGCGAGGACTCAACTTCCTCGCATAGCTTCCTCATCCATGCTCTCTTGGCTTTCCTAATTTCTTTATTATATTTAGTTAGGGCAGTATAAATGTCCCACTCGTTGGTTTTTTTTTTTGCCCTATTGAATAGTTTCCCTGTCTTTTCCCTAAACTCTTGTTCCACCAATGAACTTTTCGTGTTAAGGTCTTGGTTTTGACGGGACAGCTGTCCTCGAATGCTTCACGGATACCTACGATTACTGCCTCCGTCGCTAGCTTCAATCGTTTTAATGCTTTTAGGAAACGTTTCCGAATTCCTTCTTAAGCTATCTCTATAGAGATCCCAGGAGTTCGCTTTTGGATACTTACAAGCAACAGTGTCATAAGTTATTGATGCTCCAATCACAAACTTAATGTGTTTGTGATCAGACTTTGAGTTTACGCTACTAACATGCCAGTCAGTTGTCCGCCTGGATATGCTATTGTTAGCATAGGTTATATCTAACACTTCTTGGCTAGCACGCGTTACAAAGGTTGATGTATACCGTAAATTTAGGCTTACCAGGTGTCCAACCACCTGGCAGTCGTGCCCTCCACTTCACGGCTCGTGTCAGGTTGGGGCGTTGTGTTGCAGGGTTTTCATGAGGCTAAAAGAGCCTCTTCCAGACCCACAGACAGTACCATTAAATTAGAATTGAGTTTTACAAACTGTCGATTTTCGTCCATTTTGGTCCCACAATTAGCTGGGGAAACATTCAGTCACCCTCGGTAGAGCAACGCATGCCGAGAGCTAAAATACTACCCTAATCACCACGGCACAATCAGATTTCTCCAGGAATAAAAACTGTCAATTCGGAATTGCTTTACCTGCTTGGTGCTCCGTTGTTTTTCGATAGTATTAAATCTGTTTTAAAAACAAAATTTGATCAATTTTTAAATCACGTTGATAAATTATATATTTTAAACCCCCATATTGCCCTTACCATTTTAAAATATTGTCTCCTTGTACCTAAATTTACATACTTGTTACGCTCAAGTCCAGTCTGGAAATGTTCGGATATTTTAAAAGATATTGATAGTAATCTTAAAATTGCTTTAGGAAAGTACTAGAAAAATTCTAAATTTGAGATTAAATACAATAGCCTGGAATCAAGCCACTTTACCTATCAAATTTGGTGGAATTGGTGTAAGAAATATTTCTAGCGTCGCATTGCCTGCTTTCCTTGCTTCCGTGCATAGTGTCAATGACCTATGTAACACAATTTTAAATAATAAAGTAGACCTGTGCTTTGCTTCGGAGGCAAAGCAAACATGGCTGACGCTCTGTCCCGGCGAAAATATCCCACTGGAAG